CGCCGTATCCACTTCGTCAATCACAACCAAATGCACAGAAGTCTGTGGAGAAGGCTTCACAGGAAAATCTTGCTCAAAGATATGCCTCGTCCAAGTGTATCCCAAAGGACATCCTGAAAGGGCAGTAAGGATGTATGCCATAATGTACGACCAGAGCAACAAGTCTTTGGCAAGGTCAGAGTTCTTTGATCAGCTACGCGTATGTGGGAATTCCCTTCCATACACGCTCAGAACATGCTCAGGACTGATGGAGACAGCGGGTGGAAACCATGGATAGCACCATGAAGCTAGCCCTTCTTACGGTGATAGAGTGCAATGAGATACCGGATGACAGGAGTGAGATTCCCACGCCCGAAGTCGCACGTCACCACCCACACCTGAAACCCATAGCAGAGTTCATCCCGCGATTGTATCACAGGGCACAGATTTTACTTCTGCTTGGCAGGGACATCCTGAGAGTCCACAAGGTTCGCGATCAATGCAACAGACCTCACGACGCTCCCTATGCCAAGAGACTCGACCTAGGATGTGTCATCGTAGGTGATGTCTGTCTCAATGGAACACACAAACCAGACCACATAAGCACATTCAGAACGAGTGTGCTCACGAATGGACGCACGTCGCTCTTCAAACCGTGCCCCAACCACTTCACGCTGAAAGAGAAATGCAACGATAGAAGTCAAGGCTGTACCATGCAGGCCGACGAAGAAACCTCTATGCTGAAAGATGATGTTGGACATACGGTGTTCGTGACAACAAAGGACGATGACAAACCTGCTCCATCGCTAGAGGATAAAGAATTCTTGAAAATAATGGACAGAGAATTCTTCAAAGATGAGTCAAACAGCTCGGTTTTTCACCCAAAGAAGCCGGATCAGATCAGAGTGGTGTTTGATTCCACTGCTCAATTTAAGGGCATTTCCTTGAACAATGTAATGCTCACCGGACCGGACTTGACCAACAGTCTCCTAGGGTTACTCATCCGTTTCAGAAAGGAGTCAATCGCTATAACAGCCGACATTCAACAAATGTTCAGAAATTATCTCAGATTTCTGTAGTACCGCAATAACAACATTGAGGATCGAATTGTTGAATACAGAATTAAGGTGCATGTCTTCGGCAACAGCCCATCCCCAGCGGTAGCCACCTATGACTTAGGTGGACCGCGCAAGCAGGAGAACGGAAATTTGGGGAAGACGCCAAGCGATTTGTCGAGCGAGATTTCTACGTTGACGATGCACTGAAATCAATGCCCATGGCCTCAAAAGCCATTGATCTGCTCCAAAGGACGCAAAGAATGTTAGCAACTGCTAACCTGATACTTCACAAGATAGCATCCAGCAGTACAGAAGTGATAAAAGCGTTTCCTTCAGACGATCGCTCAAAGGACTTGAAAGACTTGGATCTTAACTTCGACACACCACCAATCCAACGCAGCCTTGGACTGAGTTGGGACCTGAAAGCGGACACATTCACATTCCGAGTAACAATTGGAGAGAAGCTTCACACTCAACGTGGCATCTTGTCGATAGTAAACAGCCTGTACGATCCACTAGGATTTGTAGCGCCGGTCACTATTCAAGGCCGTTGGATACTCAGAGATCTTTGTGCTGATACACAAAACTGGGATAACCCGTTGCCTGAGGAAAGGCAACAAGAATGGGAAACTTGGAGAAATTCCTTACAGGCACTTGAGCAGCTACAGATTCCACATTCCTACATGCCCACATCCCTTTCCGTAACCCAACGGAAGGAGTTACATGTGTTTGCAGATGCTTCTATGATGGCCGTATCAGTCGTTGCTTACTTAAAAACCACAAGCGCAGAAGGGATCCAGCACGTTGGGTTCATTTTAGGCAAGGCCAAATTGGCCCCACAACCAGAATATATTATCTCAAGGCTCGAGCTGTGTGGAGCCGTTCTAGCTACAGAAGTGGCGGAACTGATCTTAGACGAATTGGACATTAAACTGGACGTGGTCAAGTTCTACACGGACAGTAAGGTCGTACTAGGCTACATAAACAACCAAACCAGAAGGTTCTACACCTACATCAGCAACAGGGTGGAACACATCAGGAGATCGATGCAGTCGGAGCAATGGAATTACGTTCCAACTGAACAGAATCCAGCAGATCTCGCAACTAGGTCCGTCCCTGCATCTCTACTGAGGCAAACCATCTGGCTGACGGGTCCAGCGTTCCTCTTACGACGTGACGGTGGCCCATGTACTACCAAAGAGACTTTTGGACTCGTAGAGCCCGAGTCAAACAAGGAGATTCGTCTTCAAGTGACAACTTTGGTCACAAATGTGCCACCAAGAAGTCCACTGAGTCCACACCATTTTGAACATTTCTTGAAATGGACGACGCTCATACGAGCGATAGCACTTTTAATGCATATCGCAGACTTCTCGCACGATGAGAGGCACCACTGGTAGCTGCAATGGGTGGCATCACTGCACAGTGTGACGCACTGAAGATGAGCTTTCCAGAACAAGGAAATTAATCTTCCGTTGTGTGCAACATGCAGCTTATGCAAGTGAGATCAAGTACATCAACAACGAAGAAGACCTTCCTAGGGTCAGCTCCTTCAGGAAGTTAAACCCCAGGATGGACAAAGACGGCTTGCTCAGGATCGGTGGTCGGCTAGGGAATGCAGAATTACATGATAATGAACGAAACCCCCTGATAATCCCAAGTCAGAGCCACATTGCAATTTTACTTGTGCGCTACTACCACGAGAAGGTCAAGCACCAAGGTCGGCACTTCACAGAAGGAGCAAGCCGATCTGCAGGGTTGTGGATCGTTGGAGCAAAGAGGTGCATCACCAGCACAATCCACAAGTGTATCAGGTGTCGCAAGCTACATGGAAAACAGGAAGAACAGAAAATGGCAGACCTCCCAGCCGATCCACTCAGTATGGAACCTCCCTTCACCTCTGTAGGGATCGACGTGTTCGGACCGTGGACAGTCATCTCTCGCCAGAGGAGGGCTCGCGAACAGCAAACGTTGGGCAGTGCTGTTCACCTGCATGAGTACACGAGCAGTGCACATCGAAGTCATCGAGTCCATGGACTCTTCGAGCTTTATAAATACACTCCAGAGATTCTTCGCCATCAGAGGGCCAGCCAAGCAACTCCGTTCTGATTGTGGAACCAATTTCACTGGAGCATGTAAAGAGCTTAAGATCAATTCGGAAAATGTTGAAGATGATTCTTTAGGGAAATATCTTAGTGACCAAGGCTGGACATGGATCTTCAATCCTCTTCACTCTCCGCATATGGGTGGAGCCTGGGAACGCATGATTGCTCGACACATTCTCGACTCCTTGCTGTGTGATGTCGGGTCCACACGGCTCTCTCACAAGGTCTTGACCACTCTCATGGCCGAGGTCTCAGCTGTAATGGACTCAAGACCCCTGATCCCCGTCTCAACTGACCCGGAGTCACCATTCATCTTGACTCCTACTACACTTCTTACCCAGAAGACAGAGCACCCACCGAGGAGATTAGCACTGCAGACAGGATATCAAGGCACAGCCGAAGTATGGAGAGTACCCAGTACGGGGGCATGGAGGTGGTGTAGCTGCTTTTTGCAGTGTGTGATCTCCAGCATGCACTTTAACGGTTTGATGCGGAGTGTAAAGCAGCTCGGATGACGATCAGCACCTCCAAAGCTGAGGTCATAGTTCACTCCCAGGAGATGGTGGAGTCTGCTCTCCAGGTGAGGGGGGAATAGCGGTCCTTAGTGGAGGAGTTTAAGTACCTCGGCGTCTCTTTCACAAGTGATGGTAAGTGGGAGCAGGAGATTGGCCAGTGGATCGTTGCGGTGTCCGCAGTGATATGGGCGCTGTACCATTTCATGGTAGTGAAGCGGGAGCTGAGTTCTCGAATAAAGCTCTTGGTTAACAGGTCGAGCTTTGGGTAATGACCGAAAGAATGAGATTGCGGGTACAAGGGGCCAAAATGAGGTTTCTCCACAGGGTTGCCATGCTCACTCTTCATGATCGGGTGAGGAGCTCGGTAATCCGGGAGAGCCCCAGAGTCAAACTGCTGCTCCTCCAGACCGAGAGGAGCCAGATAAGGTGGTTCGGGCACCTGGAAAGGATGCCCCCCGGTAGACTCCCCCTGGAACTCTACCGGGCAAGTCCCACTGGGTGAAGACCCCAGGGCCGGCCCAGGACACGCTGGCGGGACTATGTCGCTCGGCTGGCCTGGGAACCGGAGAATTCCCCAGGAAGAGTTAAGAGTCCATCGCCTGAAAGGGAGGTCTGGACCGCCCTACTCAACATGCTACTGCCGCGATTGAGAAACAAACAGATTACTGCACCCCACCACTTACATTGCTCTCATGTCTATGTACAATTACTAGTAGACATTTATAAATCGTTATTGTTGCCAGAGGATTTCATCATATGTTATATAATGGCTATGGGAATTGCCGACCAAGAGCTCTGTGTGCATTTGCTCAACCTCAAGTTTAGCCCCGAGCGTGTTGCTGCTCAACGCACCAATGAACAACTTGACGCGTTAAATGTACAAATCTCAGTGAACAAAAACAGGCGTTCACAACTCTTTTGTGTTGCCCCAGGCGTTGTATTTCAACTTGTGCGATGCCGAATGCCTTTCATGTCAATCATAATGGGCAATTAAACTGTCGTATATAGAGTGGTTAGAATACACTTTGTTGGAAGTGGAGCGGTGGTGTAATGGTTAGTGCACTGTGCTATGAGCTCAATAACCTGAGTTCGATTCTTACACATGGCTGACATCAGTGGCGAGTGATACCAGTTTTGGACTGCCCAGCCCCTTTACCAACCCGCAATGACTAGCATGGTGAAGTGTGGTCAACAACCATACTTCACATGGGGAGGCGTTCATTCAAGTGGATTACGGGGATACATTTATATACATTTTTGTTAGGGTAGTGAGGCCAGATTCTTATTGCAATGCCTTGTGAGAAGGAATATTCGCATCGTTAATTGCAAAGATTTTGATCACATATAGCACGAGCTTTCTTGTTTTATATATACATAAAATGTTTTATTCCACATCCTCACATCATACATTGCAACATCCTGAAATTCTGGACGGCATTACCAGTTGCATTGATGGTATCAGGCACATCGGACTTGTCAGAGCAGGCGGGGGAGGGGGTTGGCCAGGTCATTGCCGTTCTGGGCTTAGATATTTAAAACTGTTCTAAGGTTCAGGAATAGACCCCATGTACGTGTGTATTCTTCTTCCTGGTCTTAGCGCGAGCTTTCGAGTCTGCTGCAAATTTTAAATCATGTTGCCATTAACAAATACTAAGGAAGGCAATGATAAATCATGAATACAATGAGTCATTACAAAAATATTCAATGAAATAAAATGGCAATTATTTACTCAGGAAAGCCTTCATTAAGTCTCAATACACTTTTTCAGGAGAGTCCTGCAATGGGATGGTTGGCAAATACCATTCATGAGTGTGCCTTTAATGTGGGGAAAAAACAGAGTCCCTGGAAAGTTCTGGAGGTCCCTTGTTCAAGTAGTTACCAGGCTAAACATTGCATAACTTTCAAGATTTGACATGATCAGGTGCATTTTAGGGTTATTTGAAGCAAAATAGGCACAATGCAGAAATGTGTGACGATCATTATTGACACCCATCACAAGGTTACAAGTAGGTACATATTCATATATTTATTTTAAATACATTTTAAAGAACATTACAGACATGGTGCATCCATAGGAGAAAGGCTTTAGACAAGATGTAAACATTGATGTTTAATCCATTGAGTGCTGCATTATAGGAATTCAATAAACGAAAGACACATAACCCATAGAAAACATACATGTATCCGTTAAACAACAAAGAATGGACAACACTTAAATTCCATGGACAGTTTGATAGTGTAAGTACCCTCGATTACAGAGTAATCGTAACTACCGCACATACTTCATATTATTGGTGAATCATGTTCACACATTACACACTACCTTCCCGAGTTTTGTACAGACACACGTGAGAATTTGCGATAATTACATCATTTTGTCCATTTATTTTAAGTGCTTCCAAATAACATCCCAGATCCCAAGGTCCAACAAAAGGTTTAGAATTACATTTCAGAAACAACTTAGAGTCTAATTGAGTATATACATTAGCTGGAAAAGTTGGGGGGAGCAGTGGCACAGGGGGAGACCTGGTGACTTGAGTATGAATCCCAACTGCGACTAACATCAGTACTGACCAGTGTGGTGAAGTATGGTCAAACAACCCCCATGACTGACAAAGCATGGGAAAGCCTTGTTTATCCAGTAGTGGATTAGGAAATCGCTGCAAATTATGTTTTGACTGGAAAAGTTCCTTTTGTTCACGAATATTTGTTTTAAACCATATTTACATATTTCCAGAGGTTGTCCAAGAGGCATAATTAATAGACGAAGTCTTGTTTCGTAATTGTAAAAAAAAAACAGCTTAGTGATATGAGACGTGAACGCCAATTTCAAATGTTGGATGTGTTTCATTTGCAGCATGTGATTTTGTGCAACATGCGACAATAACGTAAATGGATTAGGTAAACACGGCTTCTGGTAAAATGCTTACATAATGCTGTTACGTGTTTGTGTAGGTGTAAAATATTTGGACAATGGCACTCGGAATAACTGTGAAGTTAAGGAGCCACGTTAGAGACACGCCATCCCACATTTGAGTAATTCGGAGTTTCCAGAAGCAGCCACCAGGTAGCACTGCACGTTCAAATGGTACTCAAAAGTTACTTTCCATCCGTAATGACGCCAGTTATTTTTCAACGACAAATGTGCATGGGAACCCATGTAGGAAGAGCGATAGATGGGGTTTATGAAAAAGACTAATTCCGACCACAAAGTGAATATTGGTTGCATTTATAATATTGTGTTACCCATGAAAAATGGTGGCAATTACATGCTGCTTGTCCTTGAAAGTTGGTTGATTAAACCAATAATTTACTCTATATAAATTCTAATTAATTGATTCCAGGAATCTGTATGGGAGTTTATTCAATGAAGATTTGACATTTTATAATAAAACTATATATATTTGACTATTCTATTTTGCATCTTGGTGGAATATAATAATTGAGATCCTGACAATACCATTATCTTTCATTTTTTGTATAACATCATATAAAAAGCATCACTACATATGCAGTGCCAGGACTAATACCAATGTTAACATTAATAAAACATAACTGCACTTGATATTGTTAGTTTCCATCAAAAGTTGATTTAGTGCACACCCAAATAAGCAGTGCATTTTGATAACTATCGTTTGTGTAAAACGTATTCAACCAGCCAGCGTGGTGAGGCATGTGAAACACCGCCATGATCAGCACAACATGTTGAGGTCTTCATCCAGGAGTGGATTGACAAAGGCATGCAACCTACTATTAATATTATTTATTATGAAGATAAGTGTATGCTGTGAACCACTTGCTGAAGGCTATAGAATGATCTGTGTTGTGAAGGTGGCTGATTTCCTCCAGCGCCACAATGTTCAGGTTTTCTAAAAAAAGACATGAAAAAGATTCATTAAAATACGATATTTTTTAATGTAAAAATTCCACAAGTAGGATTCACACGTGCATCACAATTTTTTGTGGTAAGCGTGCACCATTATTATTTCTTAAGTTGCATCATGATGTATTACACTGTTTATGTCCTATATTTTAAAAAAATATTCTGATGTACCGCACATTGTCCGACGTTTCTGAAGCTCCCACCACATGGAGCGAAACGTCGGGCATCGTGCGGAACAAACGCACGAGACAACCAGGAAATACATCGGAGAGCCATACAGCCTCTCCTTCGAAAACCTAAGCAAATATGACTCTGATGCAAATTTAAGTTAATTTGAATATTTAAAAAAATGTGCACGTGCAGTTTTAAATTCATGCATCGAAACATAGCGTGAATGAGACTCACTCTGTTGCTGTAGCAGGTCCAGGGCTTATTTGGTTGGGTAGTCTGGTAAGATGTATGGAGGGAGATCGCCATCAGAAGACTGCTGATTTTGCAGAGCCCTGCATATGGCACAGAAAAGAGTTCATGCCATGAAGGACACGATAAAAAAATAATTGGTTCACAACTGGGAGAGGTCAAGCAAGTCAAGTGGCATCCATAAGATTCACCACTTCAAGAAATGATGAATTTTGTACATGTTTGTCTGCTAGGACTACACACAGAACCACTCATTATAATTGGGATCTATGACATTTTATAATAGCTGTAAAGGATTCCTCTGTTTAAAACGGGTTGAGAAGCAATCTGGCATGGCATTTTGACTTTCACATCAAAGATACATGATTCCTTTACATTATATGTTTAAGCGTATAGTGACATATGTGTCTGCAAGTTTACAGTTAAATAGGTTACAATTATATAGCCATAACACCATATTGTTTAACATTTATGTCTAAGAATCACTTCAACGTCATTCAAAAGTCAACATTTTTCAAAGGAATATTATATTCAAGACCATAGCCTCGAATGTAAAATGACAAAATAATACAAGATGACTGATCGACGAGTAATAAAGATGGGCTGTCTGTATTGTACGAAAGATATGGAGATGCAGAGTTTGTCCTGGATGCTCTGTGAACTCACGGCTCAGCGGTCCTGGCGGGGCGCTGCTGCACGATGGAGTAGAGGGATTCCTCTTGAGGCTGGCCGAGCACGTAGGTGACGCCAACAGGTCCTTGCTGGACGTCTGGGGGCGGCTGGTTCACCACGATCGATTTCATGGTAGTGACGTTGGGGGCTGACGGAAGCACTTCGTGGGGCTGCTGGACCACGTAGGTTTGGGGCCTCATGGTGTTGGGCGGCGTCTGTGCGCCCGGCAAGCTGCCCATGAGAAACGGACGCAGAGAAAACCTCACAATTAGGCACGCATTGATTTTGTGAATGTTGTAGTTGTAATACGATACGTCTTTTTTAACATCTGGCTTGTGTTGTTTTTTGTTTGTTGTCTCGCTTGTGCAGGCATGTTCACACCATTGGCATGAATAAAAAAAAGATGCATATATAATTAGCATTTTTTAATGCATCAATCGCATTATCTATTCCCACATGCACAATTTTAATGCACGTATCATGAGTGCAAGAATCGGTTTAAATCGATGAATCAATGCATCATTAAATGCCTACTCACAATAAACAAAACAAAATCAAAAATAATTATTTGTGACTATACTAATGCTCCATCTACCAAATATATATTTAAAAAAAAATGAAAATAGATGTTTAATATAATCTAATAGCTATGCAGACTGCAACAGTTTAAGAAAAATGTCCAATAATTTGTAAAACATTGCGACTGCAGCTGTAAATAAAATTATCTAATGCACACGATAGTAAACTTGGAAGTATGACGAGTGGGATGCAGTGCCTGTTGCTTTACTCACAACTCTCCCCCCATTAGAGTCGACTTGTCTCCTCCGTACGCCCCCTCCAGACGGTTGGTGCCATCACTGATGATACGGTTAAACCTGCCGAGCAACAGTGTCGTGATGAATATTAAACAAAGCAGCGAACAGCATTCGCCATTTACCAGTGTCACTCTGCAGACCGTTGTTTGATGGTCTCGCATTGGCACAGGTAAAATTACACAACCACCCCCACTGCCTTCACCATTGTCTCCAAGGACTGACCACTGTCTACTTGTACCCTCTCATCTCTACTCCCTTTCATATGTCCTCTGCTCCAACAACAAGGGCCTTTGTCAAACCCCTCAGGCTACCTTCAGTGAAGGGGAGGGTGCTGCTCTCTCTCAGCCCTCTCCTCTCTGATGATAGGTATGGGAGAGGAATACGACAAGCCAGCCGGACAAGGCATTTTATTTTACCTACGTGACTTTACCGAAAAACCAAAGTATGAATCCTTGCAGTCACGAAAGCTTCAAATCTAGGACAAGGCATTGTCTTTACATAGTTGTTATCAGAGCACTTGAAAAAGAGAATTAAAGCTTTCGTGACTGCATAAAATACTCATTGTTTTTTTTCGGTAAAGTCACGTATGTAGAAATACCATAAAATTATATGATGTACAATCCAGAGGATGAACACGAAATTTAGCACTCTTCTGAAATTCGTGGTCGGCCAGGTAAGTGTCTAACTGTGTTGTTAACCTGACTGGTTTTGCATCACATAATTTTTTCTTAGGTTTGTTGAATTCTCGTCTCTCATCTTCTTGTATTTACCTCCGTGCAGTTTGGCGCTCTCTCTGTGTTGCGTTGGTGTCGCCCTATGTGCTCCCTCGCTATTTGTTTTTTACACCTGAAGATCGCTTGTGTTGCGGTCGAAACGTCGTGATTGATTTATTTTAATCTAATTTTATGGTATTTCTACATACGTGACTTTACCGAAAAAAACAATGAGCACTTGAAAAAGAGCTTCATAGCTCATCGGATTCCTTTTTCTGATTTACTCATCAGTAACTGAGCCGAGCACTGCCAAAGCCTACATAAATCAACTTTAAACTAAAACCTAATAGCTGTACAGCATCTTTAGATGTGGTCAAATTTACACATGCGATGAAGCCACAACACAGTGTAGAGCGAAGCTTTGCATGGGACTCACATGAACGCCTTGTTGGGATCACCGGCGACTGGTTTTCTCAGGTCCTGGGGGTGCAGCTCGTTGACTTGCGCTGGGACGGGCCCCTCGTGGTACAGGGTGCTCCCGTGGCTCACTTTGCTGCCGAAGTGCGGGTTGTAGGTCTTCAGAGAGGGCAGGGTCTTCTCCCGGCGCCTGCAGGGGTAACATAGGCTGGCTGCTCACGCACCATCCTGCACTCGACTTTGGAAAGACTCGAAGCTGCGGCTGGAGTGGTTTTCTTCTTCTATGAAATCTAAAGTAGCGAAGAGATTTAGCCTACGCGGGTTTACGCTGCCACTCGTGACCATAGTGTGGACTCCTGGATTGGCTGCGCTTTGAGCTTTTCTTCCTTCCTTCATGCTTACTCAACGCGCTACTTACAGGCATCTTCATCGACTGCCAGCACCCTCACTTCAACACCTGAAAGATGCCCGCAAGTAGTGCGCGGCAGGAGCTTCGGAGAAGATAAGTCCAACACCGTGGGCCAAACCCGTCAGAGCACACCATTGTCACAGAGATGTGTGAATGTGTGCGTTTGTGTGTGTTATGCGCTTAGTCTGCTGTGGATATAGTGGCACATCAGGCACTTGCTGCTGTACACGAGTGCTTTCCCTATGCTGGCGTTGCCAAAAATTGAAGCACCTGGTGCGTTGTGCCAAAATCAGCGCTGAGAATGCAAAGGTCGCCATATGTGTATGATTTCCGACCACACCACCGATACGCATAGCGAAGTGGGCAATATAACCCTCTCATATATCACGTCCATGGCAGTGGACTGCTAGTATATATATTTTTAAAAATTGCTGTGAAATTATGAAAATTTTTCACATTCTGGTGTTCGAATGAGTCCAAAAGACAACTTAAAACCCCCGCAAAACAGTTATTTGCTTTTACTTTTAATAATCCATGCACGAAATGAAACAAAAAAACTAAACGATTTTATTTACCAGGTAAAGCCAAAAGAGCTATTCACCACACATGATAACTCATCGAAGTGGCTTATATTGTCATGTGGGATGTTAAAGTAGCGGCCAAATAATCACAACGCATGTTTCTAAATGTGGAGGGCAAAACCGGAGGACCCGCAAAGAACCCACACGATCACCATGGAGAGAGAGAACATGTGGAGTCCGAATATTTAACAGGCTTCGTCATGGTCTGGGATCAAACCCATGAACTCCTGCATACCAGGCGTGGCATCTAACATCTCGCCACCACAACCTCCCCCGAAGGTTACAAATAAGTAAATAAGTAGTCACGTCGAGGTGTGAGATGGTGCGTAGCTGCTCACCGATTGCAGAAGCAGCAGACCAACAGCAAGGCGAGCAGCAGCAAGGCGAGGAGGATCGAGAGGATCGTGGTGATGGCGATCATGCCGCCCGAGTGCGGCATGAAGTTCGTGTCGATGGCATCGTACGGGGACGCTTAACAACAAGTAAAAAATGACGTCAAAAGTGATTTCGTGCTGAAAACGAGCATTTGGGCAGCGCTCATCTACTCTTTACAGACCTGCGCCTGTAGTGGAAATGCGGAATTTCTATGGTGGGGCCATTCTAGCCATAAGACAACAACTGTTGACTTTCCTCAAGAAAGGAGTAGTCATTAAAAACAAAGTAAAGAAAACCAAATGGCATTAAACATTATTATCATTCTGAGTTATGCCACATTTTTACTTTAGACAACTATTTTATTTGATACAATTTGAATTTTAACCAGCTATTTCTTCGTGTGTGTTTTATATATATGTGAAATTATATACGTGAAATATACTATAGGGGCCAGAATGCTTAAGGGGTTGTTACCTGCTCGGGTGTTTATGGGTGCAGACCAGTTGCTCTGGGATATCGTCTCATTTAGATTCATGAGGACATATTGGGTGCTGAAATCACAGAAAAAGGGAGGGGCATTTAAGATTACACACGGCAAACCTATCCAAAAACAATCGACCAATTGATCACAGTACAAGTGCACTGCTGACATCGTAAAAGGAAACCCATTTCATCACGTTGTTGACGGGCACAGCGACGGTTGACCCAGGCACGCACCTGTAGTTGGTGTTGTCGCGCAGTTGCCCATTGCAGAAGGTGTTGGTTGGACACACCTCTTCCGTTCCGATGCGGAAGGCGTCGATGCCGGCCATGTCCACGATGGCTTCCCGCTTTCTCCGGGGGTTGGTGCCACGGCAATCTTGCAGGGTCAGATTGGCGGCCACGTACGGACGCAAGCTGCCCTTGTCCGTTCCGAGGTACGTCTCGTTGATCCAGAACGCAGGAGGCTTGTAACTCTCGCTAGCCTCTGCGTGGGACAAGCAGGCGAAAAAAAACCAAACCATCAGTTCATTTCTCACTGAATATCTTCCCAGTCACCGGTAGACTGGAGTAGATGTGAGTTAGTGGTCAGGGTTCATAGCGAACAGTTCTAACTGCGGTTTGCCGAGCTTATTAGACACCTGGATGAAATTAAATCATGTATTCACTAACGCTGCGAACAATAATACTAACGTCATAGAAAATTAGTGCTGCTATCAGAAATAGGACTCTCCCGAAATATGATCTCGAGATTCAGATGAGGCTTAGATTATTTAACATAGTTTTGAAAAAATAGTTATGGAAATTTCCCTTCGATAGAGTAAATGCTGTTTCAGTCCCTGAATTATTATTTGAAATTTGGCATTTCAAGTCTCTTTTTTTTTTAGAATATGAAGTGCAGTTTAGTTTTATGTTGATAGTATAATTCATGATTTCCGAATGAATAACAATGCATCTTGATGTACAAGACTTTGTTTTAGCTGCATCCAGCCCAGCTGCTCGCAACAAATTCTCCAAACAGATTCGGCGACCACTGCACTGGGTCACGCAATCAGCTTCAGGTGTCTGCAACCGTGAACTCTCCCCCACACCAGCGACAAACACTCACTTGCGCTCTCGGCGATTATCACGACGACGAAGGCATTCTCAAGCTTCTTTTGGGCCATGAGCGTCATGTTCTTGAAGTAATCACAGCGTGGCAGCTGCATGATGATGGAATGCTGACGCACGGCCGCCACCACGTTGCTGAGGATAACGGGCTCCAGTCGCAGCTCTGACCCGGAAGCTGTCGGCAAAGGTCAATTTCTGTCATTTGTGGAGTTCATTTTTCTTGTGGACCAAATTTGTGACAATTGGGCAGCGTCAATGACATTACAGCCCCTTGTGAATCCTGTTGCTGGAGGAAGTACTGCCCATGCTGTGTGGGTCGTGGGGAGTCGTTTCATCATACTTCACCATGCTGGTTAGTTCAGGCTGGTGAATGAAGTGGGTGGTGGGGAGTGTGGCCAGGACCGATTTAGAGGATAGCAGTCACCACGCATATTAGCTGTGTTTAGGATTTAATTCAGGTAATGTTCTTCATAGCAGTGGACTATTTACCCACAAATAATCTACCCTCTTGGGTTATGTTATGGAAACATAATGGTCTATTCTTGCAAAATAGTACACTGGGGTTTTTGATATCCAGATCACAACTGGCAACACCACAGAATCATCAGGCATGTGTTTAAATGCAATAGCTAGACTCTTATGATAAGTACCGTTGGTCGTAAATGTATTAGCTACTACACCCACTCAATGGTACAGTTGTTTCCCATTGTACGAAACAGAAAGGAGTTACTGTAAGGGTATTTGAGTGGAGAGTGGCTCTCCGTTGCTACCTCGAGTGGAGGCCATTCCACCGGCAGTCAGATGAGCACCCAAAAGCTTGGCTGTACCTTTTACTTTTACCACACACATATCGATTCCACGTATGTATCGTGAGAGTAAAAACCCATTTTAGGCACCGAATCGATCGGTGCATCTTTGCACATCCATCATAGAGAACGTGGAGTGTGCAGGGGGGTGCTCCGTCCGCTTGGGCACTGACCGTCCAAAACGTCACTCTTGTTCTTCGCGGGTTTGCTGTAGGAGAATGTATTTGGGAACCCTGTCCCATTGTCGTCCACCGGAACTACGCTGATGTTGTAAGCCACGCCGTCGAGCAAGCCCGACAGCGTGATGAAGTTGCTCGCGGTAACGCTCTCCCGAACGTCACTGAACGATTCCACTCGGACCTTGAGGAAAGAAACGCAACACACGTGCATTATAATTTTGCTTCTCAACCTTCCAGGTTGCTTGGAGGACCAGAGGTTGTGGCAGGAGCGGCTCCGTCCCACCAGAATCTTGGCCGACAAGTAGCAGTCAAATGATCATTTGGCCCTTGGACATTGTTGTGACATTCGAGGAGCGCAATTTATACCTAACGGCCTTCTCTTAAAAATGATTTCAACTTACCAGGAGTATGTATAATTTGTAAAATTAAGACAAAAACTCACAGTAATTACACATTTACTCGATCAAGCGAGTAGATTTGGTCCATTATATATTTTAAAAAATAATATTCCTGCCACGTTTGTAAAATAACAGCCCAATCATGTCAGAGAAAACAACAAAACATCAATGTCATCAAGTGAACACAGGACTTCATGAGGGGAAAAAAACGTTACTAATCTCTCAATGATATTGATAAAAAAATGTACTTTAAGTTTTATACGGAGGCACTGGTATAACAAGTGCAGGAAATATCTATGGAGTCCCTAGCTGCTCATATTGTTTTACCGATTTTTTTAGAACCAAGCACGAACATAAAAATAAACAGTGATAGATTTGACTTATGCAATTAACCGAGTTTTGCGCATTACTCATGGAATCATAGTGCCGTCAGAAAACCCAAGTGGTGACCACTTCAGCTGGAGGTAAGGAGTCAGCCCTGGCAGATTTGTCGGGTGGAGGAGGATCTACCTTGTAAGTCAAGTTATTTCCACTCTTTTCAGGCTTGTCCCAAGCCAGGAAGATTGCATCAATTTCGCTCTCAATTTTATTCAAGTTCCTTATTCTGGATGGCAGATTCAGAGGATCTGTAATGAAACACATACGTACACAACAATGTAACACCGGCAACAACATTTTTAAATCGAGTATACATTTATATTCTTTGGGTCTTTCGGTAAAGTCACGTAGATAGAACAATAAAATAATGAGAATGTAAATAAAGTGAATCAAAAATATAATATAATAAAAATATCACGACGTTTCGATCGCACCACAAGCAATCGTCATCAAAGGGGGGAAGATTGCATCGCCTGATGACGATTGCTTGTGTTGCGATCGAAACATCGTAATATTTTTTATTATTTTTTATTCACTTCATTTTCATTATTTTATTGTTCTATTTACGTGACTTTACCGAAAGACCCAAAGAATATGAATTCCTGCAGTCACGAAAGCTTTAAGTCAAGTATACATTTCTCATGGCCGCCAAGGTTTGACGTGCGCTTTTACGTGAGAAATAGGAGCTCAACTGACCGGGCTGGGTCGTCAAATGCAGCGTGCGCGAGGGTTTCGGGCCCGCGACGGTGATGGGGGTGATGATAATTGTGTAGTTGGTGCCGGGCAGCAGGTCCTGAAGGCTGAGATCGGAGGATGACCGTGTGAAATTAGTCGTCTCCTTGGTGAGGTCATCGATAACCTGCAACTGCCAAGACGTGATGTTATCGGCCTGGTTCTTGTAGTCCCAGTCGATGAACGCATTCGTCGGTGAGCTTGTCTCTTGCACCAGTTGAATTTCTGCGAAAAAAACACAAAGTAGAGCCGAAACAATTATTCATTTGGAGCCATTGCAGCGCTGAATGAATAAAACTTGACATGTAGGAGACAATCTTGTTCATTCAGAAACTGGCAGGTCTTATTAGGCATGTGACAATACATTACTAAATCAATTAAATATTAATTATTGCACTCATGCCACATAAATAAAGTCGTGCGTGTGAGAATTGATTATTCACGATGTATGCATAGTGCAAATTATGCACTAATGTTGCGTTTAGGATTGTGAATCAAAGCGTGATCCTGAATGATGGAATTTAACCGGATTTCTAAGAGGTGGATTGTTACATGCACGCATGTTCTTAATGGACAAGCGGCCACATATCAATGCTTTTGACACACTGGTTTAGCCATTGTTGTACGTCGCTAGACACTGCGATATTAAAATTATTCATTACTTCATTTGATGATTTTTTATTCTTCGTCGCGCATTTTGTTCATGATCCTCAACACCTATTGCACCGTATGCTGTTCATCTTCATTGCCCACCCTAATAAAAACTCCTTCGTGGGATGTTAAATCGCAAGCATTGTCAATGACAATGATATTTGATGCGTACATTTTAGATATACGAGTTAACACAGCTCCTGTGTTGTCGATCCACTGCTGTACGAGGACCTCATCATAGATGGATAATGCAGCACTGCCCTCATGGCATGGCCACGTAGCATGACTCACCGCTGTCCGTTGTGAAAGGCAGTGGGTCGCTTGAATACACGTAGCCGGATTTTGTCACTGCTGTGACGTACGCAATGTAATTGGTGGATGGCACGAGACCTGTTTAAAAACAAAATAAAATGAGTAGTGTTATATCCTGCACGCACCATTGTACATCCATGCTCTAACGAGCAACCGATTCTGTGTTCAAGAGACAAGCTCGAATACATACACACACGGGCGTTTATCGACTGAGACTACCTGAAAAATCTGCATTGGTAAAATCACAAAAACAATCCGTAAAACATTGATGGCCACCATCGCCGTAGTGCTACTTATACCGCTCCTCCCAAGCAGTACATCTCGAGGAGCCAAGACGTAACATGGAAGCCAAAACACAACACACTGCTCGTGTAACACCATTTAACATGCCAGAATTAAGCCGTTAGTTCATCGGCACTGAAGGCGGCACGTTCAACCGCCCACGTTACAGCTTCGTCACACTACTTTATTATTATTATTATTTTTTGGCTCTTGCTAGCGGAGTGCCCTGGCCCCATTCGCGTTCGTTTCCGTCCACCTCACCGACGAGAGGCAGGGAGGTGCCGTTGTCGGGGAGGATGACGGCCGCGATGGGGGCGCTGGAACCCTCGGGAAACACGCTCACGTTGTAGAACACCACGGGGTCCAAGCTGCTGTTCGCCGGTGGCGCCCACAGCAGGTTCGCCGCGTACATCGTCACGTTCGACACCCGCACGTCGGACACCTTCTGTGCGGCTGCGCAAAGGGCACGCGCGTACACACGCACTTTGCAAACCGCGCGGCCTGCAATTTCTATAAATGTTGGTAAAGGTGCGGTCGTGCAATTGCCTTCTCATGCCATTACTGGCGGAAGAGCAAACACAAATAGTAGCTGGAGCGAGCCCCTCAATGAAATATGTCGGCCTACTTTTCCAACACTGTGCCAGACGAGACGCGATATTGTTTAAACTCAGTATAATCCCAGAGTGTAACTTTATTTGTAACATTCCATCATGAAATGAATACATTTGCACAAATCGCGGTCATAAAAAAAGAAAAAACCTACGTTGAGTGGTAAAGTACATGGGGCCGGTGTTCTTCTGTGGGCCCAGTGCCTTCTGGCACTGCAGATAAGCCGAGTAGGTGCTGCCGGGCGTGAGACCACTGAGCAGGACCTCGCCGACCGTCCCGTTGAGGGGCACCACCGTCTCGGGCAGGTCGCTCGAGTTGAGGTTGGTGTAGTGCAGCGAGTAGATGGGGTCGACGCCATCCGTCACGATGGGCGGAGACCAAGCGATGAGCGCCGTCGTGGGGCTCGTACGGCTCATGGCGACCCCGCTGGGCAGCGGGAGCACTGGGCCGGGCGGGGGAGAGAGAGAGAGAGGGAGGGACGCAATTTAGCATGTGACGAGCGAACCATCTCGTTGCCTATCTTGACACTGTTTCTGCACCGGAGATCACGTCATACTTTGCAGATCGCGTCATTAACCGAAGACCCATCTTGTTGCCTAAAACGCAACACATTCTTCAACAATACTGCTCAAAAGAGGATTTTTTTTTATCTATTTAGGCAATGTTTCAGGGCAATGGACCTTCATAGTAAGAGCTTGAGTGAATATTATTTGGAGACTACACTATACAACAATGGGCACTGGTAGAAATGTAATTTGTAAGAAAGTTTCAAGATGAGCAGTGTTGACTTATGAACAATTACTCATTCGGTGATACTTTAGCAACAAACCCCTAGAAAGTCACACAAACGTACGCACAAATTGCATTACTTCCATACGGAGTAAAAACGGTCGAGCGTTTCTGACAACACGCGAGGAGGGAGCGGTTGTTGTACCGGGCTCGGGCACGGTACGGAAGGAGTAGGGGGTGGAGTTGCTGCTGCGCGTCTCATAGATGGACTCGACGATGCTGACGTTGTACACCACCCCGGGGTTCAGGCCCAGGAGGTCGACGGTCGTCCCGTTGGTGTGCGCGCTCATCAGCATGCCGACCGACGTGTTGCCGGCGATCTGCATGTAGTACACCGTGGAGAACTTTCCCGGAACGTCGGGAGTCAATGACTGCCAGGACACGATGGCCGAGGTCTCGGTGATGTTGTTCACGGACACTGCGCGCACGTTCGCCGCCCCTGCAGAGAGAAGGACATGGGCCATAGAGCGTAGCTCGATCCAACAAATCCATCCACGCTGTTTTCCCAAACTGAACGTTTACACTTTTACACAATCCACACTTGCTTTCCGTTGTACTCTTCCGGTTGCACGAGACCGCACCGCTCGCCAACGTGGTTGCTTACCGATGCTGGTGGTGAAATCAATGGCTGGGCTTGAGGCCCACCCATCTGTACTTGTGTTCACGATGAGCACAGCCTTGCAGTTGGACAATGAAGGGAAGTCTGCAGACAACAAATAGACGGATTAACAGGGTTGTCGCATGCACTTTGCACTGTTATGTGCAACAGTTTGCTTGAATGTGAAAGATTTTACAACATTCGGTGTGAGTGCACACATTTGGAACAATGAACTCACATCGGGGGTTACCACATTCAACACATGTTGAAGATATTTTAATCCATCAGCAAGCTTCAGCAAGTTTTCTCCATCTACTGTTGTCACTGGCAGGTTTGTAAGATGGCCACATTGTGTAAAATAATTTCTCACTCATCACGGGGCAAAGCGGCCTCAATTACTTGAGGCTATCAACCTGTTGTGGTATGTAGGCACATCTCAGTTCACCCCCTGAGCAATTTTATGAATTGTGAAAATACAGGATCACAATTCGATAAAAAAAATATTATTTTACATCTCATTTTTACCATCCCGTTTATATTGTTTCTTCTCTTTGTTTGTTTCGTTCGCACAATATAGCTCACTCCATTAGCTTCAATGTAACATTAGCAAATAACAGGAATATATCTTCAATAAATGAACTTCACGCAAACAATCGATGAACTGATACACCATTGCATGCCGAGCAATGAGCATTATGTGCAGCTGTGAGCTAACAGCAACTCGCTGCTGTGTTCAGAATCAGAATATGTATTTATACTCTAGGAATCCGATGAGCTCCAAAGCTCTTTTTTTTACAAATGTTCTCGAACTATCAGAGCAACCGCTGCGACCGATGCGCTCACGAAGCCGCGGTTGGGGGTGAGCGGGGTGACTTACTCGCAAGCGTGCCGTTGCGATCGCTGGCCGACAGATGCACCGTGCGGATGACCTGGTCGCCAGCGGCCGTGCTGCAGTTCCCGACGAGGTCGAATCCGGTGACTTTGAGAGGAGCCGGGGCGTTGGAGTCCCAAGAGAAGGTCCCCCCATTCGGGGTGATGCTCACCGCGGAGAAGTTGCCGATGGCAGATGCCGGGTCTGTGAGGATTGGTGGTGGGGAGTGGGGGAATAAACCAACGAAACATCATGAGTTCCGATGAGTGAGGTGGATTTCAGTTTTCTGACGATGTGTGTTGTTGAAACTTTTCGTTTTGCGGCTGAGCACTCATTGTTCCGTTGGATTTTCTCGTTATTTACATATTTGAATTCGTGTTGGTGGATTTGAAAGGAAAAAAACAACAACATTTCGTTGAATGTTACCATGTGTGTTTTCCAAGTTCTGTTGTATATCTCCATGATATGTTTTCACTGTGTACCAAAACACTGAAAGTCAGAATGAAGTTGAACATGACCTAAGGTATCGGGATGTTGTACTGCACCTGGCCGAGTCTTGAACGAGATTCCGTCGTTTATCGGGCAACTATTGTCGGAAGTCACCAGCTTGAAGCAGACGCGGTAATTTGAACTCGGTTTCAAATCTGCAAAAGGGAAAACAATTCAGAATTTACAAAACATTGTACACACAAAAACATTCACTTTGGCATTTTCTCTCCAGCACTTGGAAACACGACACCTCGCTGTGAATCACAACCCCCAGAAAAGCAACGGATGAAGAATCCAAGTGCGGCCGATAAGTGGGAGGATAAGGAACAAAGTGAAGGCGAGCAGGCTTACTGGTGAGCGGGAGCTTGGTGGATGTTCGCTGGACGGGCGCGCTGTTCACTTCGAGCGAGTTGTAGGGCTCCGGGTAGTAGACGGCCTTGAATTCAGCCGGTGTCTCCTGAGTGGGGCTCCACTGCAGCTCCGCGGAGGAGGCGGTGAGCGCCACCGCCTGCAGCCCCGTCTGAAACTTGAGGCAGTCTGGAGACGCAGAGAGCACACAAAAGGGAAACAGAGACACGAGCTTTACATTGTCCCCGCGAGGGCTGTGCCAGTCGACCCTTTTCACCTCTCTGTCAATCCGCTGATGGATGAGAACCTTCTCGTGCAGTCCCATCATGGTTGGGGAGAGTGGAGGGGGGTGTTGTTTAAGCATGCGCTTGGCCATGCTGGTCAGTGCAGGTGGATGAAGGGGTGCCCCAGGACCGGTCCTTATATCACTCACCACTGATGGTAGCCGTGGCCCGGAAATCCAACTCAGGTCACCGGGTTCACAGTGCAATGCGTGAACAAGCGTGGCCAAACAAACCCTGTATGACCGACGCGGCATGGGGAGGCCTTCATCCAGCAGTGGATTGACAAAGACCAGGAAAATTGCTCTTAGTTTTCTACGTGGAGCTCGGGTCCTAGGTTGACTCAAGCGAGTACCTGGTGTGAAGTGTAAACATCGCCACTGGGGAGACAAAGGCGGCCGAGAGTGGTGCTGGCCACCCACCCCCTTCGTGTGCCCTGCCGGCCTTCATTAGGTGCTCGCAAACAGCACTTGCCCCAAAACTCCGTCGAGGCAAAACAGGGGATCTTTGCCTTTGTTACATGGAGCCCTTTCGAGTGGTCGTGCCCCTTACCGGAGTAGCAGAGGGTGGTCACAAAGCAGCTGCTGCCTTTGCTCTGGCCCGTGTAGACCACGGGCAGAATGTCGATGACGTACTCCATGAAGGGCTCCAGGTTGTCCACCACGCGGCTCGTCAGCTGGTAGGGCACGTGGCTGGTGTCCACGGTCTGGCCGCTCGTGAGCCCCTGGCGGAAGAGGAGCCCCTGAACGGGCGCCCCGCGCGAGTTGAGGGCCCACGTTACGGTCACCGAGCGGCAGTTGACGGTGCACTCCAACCTCAACACCTGGGTCACCTCTGTAAACACAGCAGCAGCGGCAGTGGCAAGGCAAAACAAGTTAATGAATGAATGGCTCGACGGAGATCGATGTCCTTGCAGTTCGGAGGTTGTGCAATGTTATTGAGGTTCAAGCAATGCTGCAGGTGAGGTTTTTGGGTCTTTGAGTAATATATTCTCCAATGTTGACACAATGGGATTGTTAATCCAACAAGAAACTATAAACCAAACTTCAATTTATTGGTCATTAATCTGTAATAAAGTTTATGAAGATGGTGGACTGTTGTTTTGCTGTGAATATGGAATTTCGAGTTTTACAGAGTTGTATTTGGTAAAAAAACGAAATATCGTGTGTAATTAAAACACATTTTAATGCATAAATCGCCTGGTTACATGGCACGTCTAGAGCGCTGGGTTCAAGTGAGCGTGCGGTGAGATGCGTCACCTTCTTCACAGTAGGTGCCCGTGTAGCCAGTCACACAGGAGCAGCTGAAGCCATTGTCGTTCTCTGTGCACTTCCCGTTGTGTTGGCAGGGGTTGCTTGCACAGTTGTTCCCGACTGGAGAGATGGAAACAATGCAGATTAATTACCCAGTCATGTCGTAAGCATGCGTCGACCAATGTTAATGCCATTAGCATTTGTATGTATGAATGTAGAACTTATTTTGCACCATACGTAGCCTGCCGCGCTAATCGAAGGTGTAGGGGAAGGGCAACAAACTAAACACAAAAAAACAGTTCTAAAGAAATTAGTTTTCAATCTATATTTAAAAGTGCATAGCTCCAGTGGCTTCTTAACATCGGAAGGAAGAGCGTTCCAGATGGTCACAGGAGTGGCTCTGAAAGCGCACGATGGCTAGCCAAAAGCCGCTGTGATGGTTTATGATCTCCTTGACGAGACCAGCAAAGTAATTTGACAAAGTTGTGAGGAGGTTTTACATGTATTGATGATGATGATGATGATGAATGTACTCATAGCTTATGATGTAGGTGAGCCACCCTACTCTACCTTTCATGAACTGAACCTTGACGTATCCATTGTTCTGACGGTCGGATATGAATCTGTTGCAAATTAAGTTGCTGACGTTGGCTTTTGTGAGAGTGAAGTTGTCCGGAATGTTGTCTGAGACGGTTTGCTTGTACGTTTCTTGCAGGGATCCTGCAAGGCAGCGAATCGCCCATGAATACACACAGCTGCGACAGACGCGGCTCAGTAGCACAAGGCTGATACATAGTGCTTCATTAGTAACAATGATGGTCTGATCACATCTGAAACAATTTCATGTGTTCTCCAGAGTACAACATTCTATAATCTCACCCTGACTAAATGCACAAAAATTACAAAGGAAATATATCATCGCTTGTGGCCCTGTTGGTTGTTACATTTTACACGGCAGTTACATATGTAATGAATGTGGTAGGTCATTTTGTGCATAAGCAGAATAATTACACTTTTAGGCGATGATTATATTTGGTTTAGCACAGATTGTTAATCAAGACACGGCTACTGCTGTTGCAACCTTACCTGTCTTTCCAGAAATCTGCAGGACCTGGTCATTGAGGTTAATTTGTGTCGTCTTGAAAATGTCAAAGAAGTCTTCTTTAGTCTCAGTGCTGAAATTGACAAACTTGTAGGAGATGCCTGGAGGGAAAGAGACAAACATCTAAATTAAGGTAAAAAAAAACGCCCCATGCCGTTAATTGCCACCACCTTGTCTTTGTGTGTGTTTTTAACCAAAGTTCTTGAGCACAGGCCCAAAGGCCTAACAAGCCAAGCGGCCAGCAAAAATAATCAATTATGACGGTGCAATCGATGCGAGTAAATTCGTTTCTTGAATTAAGCAAGGGTATAAAAACTTTATGGAACAGGTAATGGGCGAGAATTATAAAGTAGAGCAGCATGAGAAAAGAAGCAGAAAGATAATTTAAAACTAAACTCTAGACATTTCGATTTAAAGCTTTCGTGACTGCAAGGATTCATCTTCTTTGGTTCTTTCGAAAGAACCAAAGAAGATAAACTCTAGACAATTTTTTTTATTTTACCAGGTAGAGCACTGAGCAATATAGCCCTTTTTCAGAAGCGACCTGGCCACAAATGATAGCTCAACGAAATGGCGTATCACATGGACATTGATAGCAGCCAAATACTCTAAACGCATGTTTCTAACTGTGTATGTAAAAATCCACGTGACCACGGGGAGAACACGCAAACTCCAAATATACAGACGTCAGGGTCAGGATCGAACCCATGACCTCCTGTATACCTGCCGAGGTATTTAACATCTCGCCACTGTGGCACCCTGTTGTGACCTGCAGCGTGGTGGTTGAACACAGAATGGAGAAGTTTAAACAGTCAGTGTGTTGGGCCGAGTCCTCAAATATGGATGGAGGAAACAACACGAACGCAGCCACACCACAGATGAGTAAAATCGAACAACGGTCCAAGGGTCGCCGAAAACGTGATCTCATCGTACCCGAGTAGTTGGTGAGGTTGAAAAACCAGGCCACGTTCTCCTCAGGCCGGTATTCACCGGGCCATCGCGGGGACCGCATGAAGCCCGACGATCGGTTACAGAACGTGACCGTGTAGTTCTTCTCGTCCAGGATCTCCGTGAAAGGGCAGGTGTCCTCTGTGGATAAACCCATGAGAACATTTGACTTAATGAGGATGCAGACAAGTGCGCCATATGTAGCCTATGACCCATGCACTTTTGGTAGCTTGAAAAAAAACACTATACCAGCTCTCCTCAGATCGATGAGAAAATTTGCTTCACAGTGGACTTTTTCTATCCGCTTGATCTATCTACTCTCAACAAAAAGCCAAACTTTCTTAGAAAATACTTGATGTTTTGCATTCACTTACCCACACACACGTTGTTGGAGAAGATGTAACCGGGAGGGCAGATGCATTTGAATCCACCATCCAAATCCATGCACGTTGTGGATGCGGGGCAAGTGCAAGGGTTTAGGCATTCGTTCACATCTGTCACGCACAACAAACACGGAGGAAATGTTCAGGCTTCAGAGCCCCCTTCTTCCTTTTACATGTACTGACTTGCTGATCACAGGCAAATGGAGGTTGTGAAAAACAATTCTAGCAATACGCACCATAGCATTTCTTCCCAGTGCCCACCCATCCGCTGGGGCAGACACAACGTGGAGACTGAGGGTTGCTGATGTCGCAGATGGCGTTGGGGTCGCAGCTGTTTCTGCAGGGGTTGATAACTGGAGAGGGAGAGAGAGAGAATAGCACAGACAAAGAGGCAGATTGCAATGTCAGTCTTCTTCTTTCGTATGGCTGATGTAGATGCAGAGCACCTCCAATTAGTTAGTTTGGCTTCGTACGGTGTGAAAGAAGTTCGACATACACACAGAGCAACAACTACAATTTCACTTTCGGATGATCAAGCCAAACTATCACCTTGTGGATTGTGCATTTGCGTAGTTACACGTTGTACGGTCCGTTATGAACAATCGCAGTCGCACACTGGAGAGTTTATCATTTTTCCTTTTGTGCATCGGGTATCCGCATCTGCCAATGTCACAGTGAGGCAAATCAACTTGACAAACGGCACCGAGAGGAACCTACGGCCGTGAATGTGGCGGCGACTCACTGTACTCAAACTCGATGTTGAAGCCGGTGCGGGGCTCGTTGGCGTCTGAGTGGAACTGGACCCAGGTGCTGGTGCCGCTGCAGTTGAGGGAGTAGAAGACGAAGGAGCTGAGGTCAATCTTCTCCCCCGTGAGCCTGCCCTGGCGGATCTGCGGTGGATCCATGCCGCAGCCGTAGTCCACGTAGTCGTCCGTCTTCTCCAACGACATGTTCCAAATTTTGAAGTACAATCCTGTGGTGGGCATTTGCGAAAATAATTACAATCACCATGTACGGCCCAATGTCAATTCCCTTCCAGATGAAGAAACTTTCCACACCAATGCGGCCGTGTTGGTCATTAGGGTTGTTTGACCGTGCTTCGTCAGGCTGGTTAATGCAGGGTGGTGAAGAGGGGAGACCCAGGACTGGTTCAGATATTAATCATTTTAGCTGTGGCTAGGAACTAAACTCAGGTCACGAGATTCACAGGGTAGAGTAAAAGCGAGCAACACACTTTCACAAACGCTATCATTGGAGAAAAATTGCTTTGAAAATGAATTTTTAAGCCTCACTCACCATTGTAATTAACGGAGGCATTGTTGAACTGTGCACTGTCGAAGAACCAGTATGAGTTGGTGTTGAGGGAGTAGTTTCCAGGGTAGTTTGGGCTCGTGATGTAGCCCGTGAAGCAGGGGCATGCGTGCTTCGCAGGCACTTCAAGACTGTTTGTGGCAAGGTCCTGGGAAGGGCAGTAGCAGCCTAGGATGGAAGAGCGATACACAGCACGTGAAAAGAACTGCTGGGCCATTCCACCATTTTGGACATACATTTAAGATATTTTAATAGATCAAAAGTGTAAACCTGACATGGCTATTTAGTTTGGCAAAGTATTTCAATTAATTGCAACTGAAATTCAGAGCAAAATCATTTATCCACCTTTCTTGATTAGGGAGACATGTATATCAGACTTATTAAGATGAAACGACTTTTTCATGTATGCTGGGATGGTCGTGGTGGATTCAGTTGCACGTGTGACATACCATCGCAAGTGATGCCATCCCCTTTGAAGTAGGGTTTGCAGGCACACTTGAAGGACCCACGTGTGTTGGTGCAGACGGCGTTCTGATTACAGTTGTTCAGCGTTGGGTTCTGGCACTCGTCAATGTCTGTGGAAACATGGACAACATGTGCCCATCATGAGCATCGCCCAGAAAATCACCCAGGGAACCCCGAGTTTTTTGGCAATGACCACAAAAAACGTGCTTACTTATAGTGATCAATGCATTGCATGTTCCACTCAAAGGGTTATTTTCATCCAAAAAACAACAAAAAAAAATTTTCATTTGTAGGCGATTAAATGACACGGCATGTCAAAGCACCTGACATCAAAACCTAAAAAAAAGATATTTTTTTGTCGGAGAAAAAACAACAACTCCATTTACATTTTGATTTAAAGCTTTCGTGACTGCAGTAATTCATATTCTTAGTTTTTTTGGTTTGCAAACCAACACACCTGATGATGACCGTTTGAGTTATGGTCGAAACGTCGTGAGAATTTTTTATTGTTTTATATATATTTTATTTTGTTGTTTCTCTTCAACGTGACTTTACCGAAAAAACTAAGAATATAACTCCATTTACATTTTCTAAAAAAAGAAAACATGAAGTAACTGGGTGGGGGACAAAAGTAAACAAACTTACCATGGAAACCATGAACTAAACATTCATGAAAAACTGCGGCTGGGGCAAGCACCCGCTTGCCCCAGCAATGGTTACGTTCACACCGCGGCTTGTGCCGCAGGTGTCGCGTTTGCAGACGGGAGCAGCGAAGCTCCGGCACTCACCGATACACATGTAGCCGTTGAGCCCGGCGCTCAGGTAACCGGGGCGGCATCCGCAGCGGTAGCTGCCCACATTGTTGAAGCAGAGATGCTGGCAGCCCCCGTTGTCGCGAAGGCACTCGTCCACATCTGTGTTGGGGGGGGGGGGGGTACACGGGCATGGGCGAGAAATTATTGCAACTTTGTTGCTGTCGTCACTGATCGCAGTCTCCCATCGCCAGGAGCAGTAACTGGAGCAGCTCAGGATACAAACAGCAGGGACACGCCTCCGACATCAAACACACATTCTACCCGAAGACAGGTTCATGGCCACAAGTTCTATCCATCTCAGCCGATCCCTCTCTCTCTCTCTTCACCTCAATACAGCTAGAGTTTCAATAACTAGGGAAGGATAGTTGAGATGGCTTCCCCTGGCCTTCTTCAACAGTGTTTTTTTTTTCAGGAGGCACCATGAGCAGATACATTTTGATGTATACATGCAGGTTAGGGTGTGTTGTACATCCAATGACACATCAACTATTGGCTTCGGGTGAAACAGGACAAGAACACAGTCAAGATAAACATTCACCCGAGTGTTGAGTCAATGTAAAAGTACCAATCAACACAATTAACACCCGATTATGTGGTTTCATTGCATAGACAAGTGTCAGTGACATTATTCACACATTCACACTCTTAACATCCTCCGCCAGCTGCTGCTGCTGCTTGAATAGTGCAGAGGAGGTATTCACCTTGGCACGCGCCCTTCACGTCCTGGTAGCCAGGCACGCACTGGCAGCTGTAGGAGCCGATGGCATTCACGCATTTCGAGTTCGGTGGGCAAGAGAAGAGGTTCACGCTGCTGCATTCGTTGAGGTCTGCAATGAGAGAGAGAAGAACATTCAGAGGCCAGGTCAGCAGAGTCGTCTCGCTGACCACTTCCCATTGCAGGCGTCATCACGTCGAATTTGAAAGCTATGCATGTATACCGCAGCGTCTTGGAAAAAATAAAGTTTCATTAAGATGCCATGTGCAGTAATTACAAATCGCCGTTGTATTGGTATCCTCACCGGTGCATGTGTTGTTCAGGTAGATGTAGCCTGCGGCACACTGGCAGGTGTAGCTGCCGAACGTGTTCAGGCATACGGTGTTCACTGGGCAAGGCTTCTTTACGCATTCATCCACGTCTGCACACAGGCACCAACGCCGTAGCGCAACAACAAAGCGTGAGTGATAGCGGCAGAAGAACAGGTCCCTGCAGGGTGGGCTGGTAGGAACATTGGAATTTTTTTTACACCCAACAGCACGAGATTTCACTTCGTTAAAGTATTGAAAGGGGACGGACGGACGGACACATTAATCTATTGCAGGCTGGTACACACAGTTTACAACTTCGTTCCTACCAGTATAATTGATGCCTATGCTCACGATGCATGCAACAAAGGGTGATTGTGGTCGCAGATTACTTAAAATGCATGAAAATTATGCCCATGGCATGTGGCTGGTCAATGCAGAAAACAAAGCTGCACAAATGAGATATGGGGAGGGGTGGGGGAACAAGCAACTTGACACAGAAACAACACAAGACAACAATTTATAAACACTTAATTTTGATCACACTCCCAAATCCTGATAATTAATTTTATTAATATTTGTTGGGAGGGGGCGGGGGGTGTAGGTGGGGGTTGGTTAGCTTCTTTTCCTTCCTCATCTCCGGTGTGTGGGTGGATTTACCCTGGCAGGTGCCTCCAACTGTGTTGAATCCTGCGACGCAGATGCAACTGTAGGAGCCGACATTGTTGCTGCACACCTGGTTAGCTCCGCACTTGTTCAGAGTCAGGCACTCATCCACGTCTGAGGAAATTCAAATAAGGACAAGGGGACACACGCGCACTCTGTATGGGCCCACACTCTGTGGCTATTTATACAGACTCTAAATGCATTGGCCTCAGAGATTGATATGTACGAACAGTGTCCGTGCTCAGTGTCTGCTTAAGCTTATAGTGATGTGTTTCTTTTCCTTAATATCTTTAGAGAGCTCCCTCTCGTGGCGTGAGCAAGGAATTGCAGGGCTGCACCTTCAACAATTTAAACTTTCCCAGGTTAGCGTCACTGGGCCTTGGAGACTCATATCAGGGGACTCCTGCTCTGGAATGTTTGTCGAAATAATTTCCAAGCGTTTTTGCAATGAACGCAAACGTAGTGTGCTCAGAGTGAGCCCAGTAAATGTCCACGCACAGACAGCCTGCAAATTATACTTGCTGTACTACCTCCAACATGGACGTTATTGGCATGCAGATAAGGGTTTTACACACATGATCTCGATATAACATGTATATCCTGCTGCCAAAACACTCGGCAGTAATTTACACGATTACGATTCGCATTTATTGGGAACTTAAATGACCCAGCATTTCAAAGCACCTTATATGCCCACCTGTGATTTCTCTTTTTTAACCGAGGGGACCCCCAATGACAGCTGTCCCTGTGCAGCACTAGGTGATGCTACATGGGCCTGATACTCAATGGGCTGAAACACCTTTATATTTAGCGGACGGCAGAGCTTGGTCAAATGTTGGCAGTAGCTCACCACCTGGCTGCCTTGTCTTTGGTTTCTCGGCGATTGTGATATGCAATTTGCATAAACGACGCCATTAAAAAGTATCACCATAAAACGTGGAACAGGTCCCTGCAGGGTGGGCTGGTAGGACAAGTCTCTGCGCTGTCTATTGCTGATTTTATACCCAACAGCACGAGATTTTACTTCGTTAAAGTATTGAAAGGGGACGGACGGACGGACACATTAATCTATTGCAGGCTGGTACACTCAGTTTACAACTTCGTTCCTACCAGTATAATGGGAGCCATAAATAGCAGCTCCCTCGAATTGCTACGGATAAGAGCAGCGAGTGACTGAAGTGACTGTAGTGATGGCAGTGTCTTCAAGGCAGCTGGACCGCATACCCGTGCAGACGGTGCCATTTCCTGTGTAGCCAGCTTTGCACTGGCAGGTGTAGGCCGATGTCCCCAGCGTGCTGATGCACACAGCGTTTTCACTGCAGAGTTTCTGGCCAGGTACTGTGCACTGGTTGACCGCTGCAAGACATGTGCGCATGAAGATGAAAAGTGTAATTTCGATGACACATTTAAAATATATACCGGCTGCATTGTCTTTGGGACCTCCCTTGCCAGTATCGAAATATAATAGGTTTTACCCTTTCTGGCCAGAAAAGGTAAAACCTATTCTTATGCATTATCTTTCATTATCCAATGAAGATTCTCCATTAGCTACTGTAAACCCTGAAAAGATCACATTTATAATAAAATAATGATAATTTGCAGACCTTTGTTAATCCACCACTGGATGAAGGTCTTCCCATGCCTTTTAGTCACGGAGATTTTTTTAAACCATACTTCACCACGCTGGTCCGTGTGGGTTTGGTGAAGGAGAGCCCAGGACAGGTTCACAAATAACTCGCTACCGATGTTACTCGTGGTCGGGAATCACCAATTTTACAAACATTTTACCTGGAATACGTGGCTGTCAAGGAGAAATTATTTGTTCAAAACAGGGCACATTGCAAACTCTTTTACAAGAAAAATGCATTCATACGCTATGTTGCTATACATACATTAATCCTTCAATTTCATAACTTGGACGAGGTCGAATTTTACAATAATCTTCAAAAGAAAGCTTGCCTGTTGTGAAGTGAAACTTGAAGCCTGTGCAGTTGATATCGCGGTCGGATGTGAAGTGCATGTAGGCCGGCGTGCCGGGAGTAAACGCCAGAGAGATCGTCTCGCCCGCTGTCTTGTTGCCTGAAATCGACTGTTTGATCGTGGTCTGGTCAAGGTAGTTGCTTCCCAGGCCCAAATCCAAATAGTCCTGGTTTTTCTGGGTGCAGAACTTTTCCACAGTCAGCGTCACACCTGTGTTTTCCCCGCAGACGGAAGAAGAAATCAACGTGGGTGTCAACTCATTGCTATGAATAATCAAGTGGCAAAATGAACCGTAAAAATAAACTCACGCATATTTGTACCCTGCCCATAGGGGAAAACAAAAACATGGGCATAAATAAGGTTGGGCCAGTCTGCCAAAATGTCAAGTTACATAATTTTTTCTCTGTTATGGTAGAAAAGACCATGCTATTATTGTGAATTATCCTGATTTTCATTGCATCAGTTCACGAATGTAGCACCTTATACGTGACACAAAAAGACACAGCTTGGTGTGGAGTCCAAAGGGATTATCCCAGAAACATATGGTCAACTCCACCACGACAGCAATCGCTATGCACGTCAGCTTACATCAGGTCCTAGCGTGGACACACGGTGACCAGTGTATAGAGGCGAACCGCTTACCACTGATGCCGCTGCTTGCGCTGTAGTTGAAGTTCCAGTGCGCGTCCGCGTTGTTGCTGTAGTTGAGGTAAGCAATGTAGCCATTGGGATAATTGCACACTCCATTGACAGGACAATACGGACCTGCAAATGAAAACACAACTTGCTAAATGAAGAATAGGTAAACGAAGTAAGAGCAGTGACGTGCAAATGATACGTATAAAATACAATGAACCGAAAAATAGTTATGAGAGATCAATGTAAAATGTAACTTTTGTCGCAGCTTGAGTGGGTTAGTGCTTGCTACTGACCTTCACAAATGTTTCCATTGAGCTGGTAATCTAGGGGGCAGTTGCACTGGAAGCCACCTGCTGTGTTGATGCACGACGCTGGGGCTGCGCAAGGATTGGCTAGGCATTCGTTGATGTCTGTTGAAGCGGTGCACAAACGTAACATTTTTGTTTTGAGTGTTTTATATATATCAAGAATAATCAAAGAGAGCTGCAGGCAATACATAACAAAGAAAGAAGAACCATTGCCAAAAATGTTAGAATATTATTCATTTATCTGTTGCAAGGCAGTGTTAAATGACAAATGTTGTTATTATTCGTACATATACAAAACAAAGTATGCGACTCGTATATACATTTAGCAATGAACAATCAGTTTCGCATAAATTGACTTCGGTATGTTGAACTTCTTTCGCACCGTATGTAGCCAACCCGTGCCAATCGAAGGTGCGGAAAGGTAGAGAAGATTAACAACAATTAAGAAAAGTTGTAAGACAAAATGTGTTTGACCACTTACACGATGTTACATGCACTGTGCTTGATTCACATTCTGACAAAATGGCACGCAACTCATCGCTTTGCCAATTGGCCCCATTATTGGTGACATGAACATTCGGCAACAAGCCACAATTCGGGCCCTATCTGTTTGTTGGGTTATGCGGGCCTCCTCACCTTGGCAGACGCCTGACACGCTCGTGAAGCCACTGCTGCACAGACAGGTGTAGAAGCCAGGAGTGTTTTGGCAGATCGAGTTGGATCCACAGGGGGATGGGATTATCAGGCACTCGTTCACATCTGCAACCAAAGCACACGAAATGTGAGCAAAAAAAAAATGCGCGAGGTCCTTCCTGGCCAAACAAGTGAACCCACGGACGAACGATCAAACATCGTTCCCAGGATTCCCGACACCTCATGAGCAATTCGAAAGCAAAGAATAGTGATACCTCCAACTACCTAAAGTCACAGTGAGAAGAGCACATGGCTGAAGAAAAATCACACAATGACATTTTAAGACTATTCAGCCACTGTTGGTGTCTGCCGACGTCAATGTCACCAACCTCTGCAGGTGTTGTTGGCTGCGGTGTAACCGGAGGGGCAGTGGCAGCGATATGATCCGGGGAGGTTTTCGCACGTTCCGATGGGGCACATGGGACTGGCAGTGTTGGCGCACTCGTTGATGTCTACAAAGCGTAATGAATGCAGTAAAAGCATCAACCGCAAATCTGTTTTACGAGCAGAGAGTGAAGTCAAAGTTGAATTGTATTCAAATGTTACAGAAAGCACAAGTGGATTGTGGGCTGACGCTGATCTTACCGAGGCACATTGTTCCATTTGAGGAGTATCCGGGTTGGCACTGACAGGTGAATGACCCGATGAGGTCAGTGCAGATTGCGTTGGGGCCACAGGCACTTGTCAAACATTCATTAATGTCTGAAAAACAAAGGGAGAGTAAATCTTTGTTCATGTATTCTCTGGTACAATGACAGTCAAGTTCATTTATCTTGCACCGATATATGGTATATATTTATAATTATGTTGAATGTACACATTGCTGCACTTGTTGAGTGCTTTGGTTACTTTGTCAAGTATGTGTAATTGTTCATGCACATGTATGACAGCACAAAAAAATCGGAAATTCAGCAACGCATATTCCAATTGTAAACAGTCGGTTGGAATTCGCATTACTCATTTTATACGTGGTTAAGGACACAGCGAATTCGATTAGAATTCAGAAGAGTGTTATGTACACATGTTGATATTTCATACTTTCACAGATCCTTGCAGAGTTCAGCTGATAGCCTCTCAAGCAGTTGCAGATATAAGATCCATCGATGTTCGAGCAAGATCCACTACTTCCACATGGATTGTTCAGGCATTCATTTATGTCTAAGATAAACACAAACAAACAGACATCAACAACAAATACTGAAAACTAGTTTCGATTGAAATAAACCCAAGTGTTAACCAAAGCAACTTTACTGAGCATGGAATAATTTTCCTAAGTCACAAAAGCAATGGTTCACAATGTAAGCCCTTTTTGTCCATGAACAATTCTGCTCTCTGCAACAAATAACAGAATATCATACAATTTGAATTTATATAGCATCTGAATGCGACTACTTCTGTACGCTGTACAGAAACAGTGGGTATACTTTATTTAATAGAGGGGCAGTCCATCAAAGGCAGAATGGAAAAAAATGTTGTGATCCTGGACTTCAAGAGGAAATTAACAGCACTGATGGCTACAAGGAAAGGAGTTCCAGAACGTGGGAGCAGCAGAGGAGAATGAGCGATGTCCCACTGACTCAAGGTTGACCGAGGGCCTCAGCAGAAAGCTTTTGCTGCTGGAGCAGAGTGTGTGTGTGTGTGTAGAGAGGTACAATGAGATAAGACAGGAGAGCTGGAGAGGGGCGAGGATCTTAAAAGACGGATGCGTTCATGGGTGCGGGTGAGACGTTTGCGTTTGCCGTGCATTGTGGAAACTGTGGGGCGGCACGGAGCACGTTGGAAGGACTGCTTACCGACACACGTCTTGGTGGTGGTGTTCATGGTGTAGCCCGACCAGCAGGTGCAGGCGAAGCTGCCCTCGGTATTCTGACAGTTCTGCGAGCAGTTCCCTTTGTTCACCATGCACTCGTTTATGTCTTTAGTTGGAGGAGTAAATAATTGAGAATATTAATAGTGGTGACGATCGTGATGGAAATACATCTGCAGCAAAACCCGTATTATGCATAGGTAACCGCTTACTTTGGATTCTACTGATATACGGTACTGGACATTGCGCTAGACAAGTCCAGAATCCAGGAGGTAGTTTGGGGTGAGTTGATGTCCCTCAGTTCGCAAGGGAGTTCGACCAGTTTTAACCAAAAAACAATAACAATAGATACCTTCCGAGCCTGCTCCATACATAATTAGGTATATAAACACATACACAAGTACATGCACAAATACGCCCATTTAAGCGAACACAATTCTTTACTTTTTTCATCACCAGCTATACACAGCATCACATTTTACTGTAACACATAACAGATGGTGGAAACAAGCTTGACTGGAAATGCGTTTTCACCGAGCCTTGTGTAATGGGCATACAACAGACCTTTTCCATTTCATGGGTCCCGCATTCAACGTTGATCAATCTACATTTGTTCCCCACGCGCGTTGGCAAACACATGTACTACCTGGTACGATGGCTGCCACTTTGAAGGTACAAACAATATCAAGACATATCTCGGCAAGAATGATAGCTCACAAAACCAGAAGATGGGAAAACTACATGCCAGTACATTGTCTTGACAAAACATGAACTTGTCCCGGAAAACTTGCAGGTTGGCTTTGCAGTAGGGCTACTTCAAAAAGATGACTACGGATCCCGGAAAAACATGGACAGACGGCAACCATACCAGGTACCTGCTCTGCTCTTTAAAAAAAAATTGATGTTTTTTTAAAACGTGTAGAGGAAACAGAGTCTAGGTCCACTTTGCGCGACCAAGTCAGATTTGGGGGGACCCTGCCGCAGGGCTTCGCTTACCAAAGCAGGCCGCATGGTTGATGGGGTCCAGCGTGTACCCGACCGGGCAGGCGCAGTGGTAGCCACCCTGCTCATTCACGCAGATGTCGCTACAGTTTCCATTGTTCGTCAAGCACTCGTTGATGTCTGTAGGTAGCGGAAGGGGGGCGGGGAGGGTGCCGCAGTGGCAAGATATTAACTACCTCGCTTGGTATACAGGAGGTAGTGGGTTCGATCCCGAGCCTGACGCCTGTAAATTTGGAATTTGCACGTTCTCCCCATGGTCGCGTGAATTTTTCTCCAGGCCCTCCAGTTTTTCTCTCCACATTGAGAAACATGCGTTGAGTAATCAGCTGCTATGCATTTCCACGTGATAAACCACTTCATTGAGCTATAATGTTTTGCCAGGTCGCTTCTGTAAAAGAGCTATATAGCTCAGTGGGCTTTACCTGGTAAAAAAGTAGTTTTTTTGAAGGGGCTTCGATTAACGGTCAGAGCTTAGTCTGGATCCTAAGCTCTCTCTGTGTAGCTCTGCTCGGTGAGTGGAGAAGCGCTGCCGGACACATTGTGTGCCACCCCGCCCGTCTACCCTTCTCAATGCCACTCCCGTGTTTTTGCAGCCCTTTGGCTGCTGTCATGAATGTGATGGTTTGGAATTAGTGACGCTGGTTTTTACAACAGTGAATGTCACAATAGCTTATACAAACGCCTGATATTTTAATAATACGGCAAAGAGTGAGCTTCAATTAGCTATGCAGGTAGAATTGCATATGCAGATAGGTATTCGATTTTTACATATATGCTGAATAATTAGAACTTTTACAAATTTCACGTACATAAAAGTTACAATTGGAATATATAGCCTGTTGTAAATCCACTGCCGCACGAAGGACTACCCACATCGTGGGCACCACGGTGGCTAGGAGATGTTAACTGCCTCGCCTGGTATACAGGAGGCCGTGGGTTCGATCCCGATCCATGGCATCTGTATATTTGGAGTTTGCATGTTCTCCCTGTGGTCGCTTGGTTTTTCCCCTCCACATTTAGCAATGCGTTTCGAGTATTTAGCTGCTATAAAAACAATCCACACGATGAGCCACTTCATTGAGCTATAATTTGTGACCAAGTCACTTCTGAAAAAGATCTATATAGCTCAGTGGACCTTACCTGCTAAAATAAATATATTTCTTTCGTGTTGGCTGCCAGAGTTGTTCATAAATGACATACTAATGTCACCAGTTTCACCGCGCAGTATGCCAAATCACCGGGCCACTGCTCGGCCGACTTCATTATTGTATGAACAGCATAGGCACAAACCGTGCCTTGTAAAAAAGGAAGAACTTTCGTTATGAGTAATGTTTTTTACTTTAAATTTCTACACACACAAACTCATAAAACAGGCTACTTGTGCAGTGCCTACCTTGGCAGTTGTATCCATTGCCTGTGAAGCCTGCATTACAAGCGCATGTGAAAGACCCAAAGGTGTTGACACAATGCGCCGACGTTTGGCACTGCTGCGGTAATAGACACTCGTTGACATCTGAAAAAGAAAAACCACAACGCTGCACTGAATACCAACTAATTCTTCAACAGAGCCTGCTTTAAAAAATACAAAACCTTATTGGAATGCATTGAAGCTACACTGAAATCATAACGTGGCTGGTTAAATGAAACAATGGGTTCTCAAGTGTAGCAGGTTTTTGGTCTCAGTCCTGTGACCAAGGGCTATACAAAAACAATCCATTGCATTAAAATTGTTTTTTTCGTCACTTGACTTGGCTCGATTCTAGCTCACAGAATTAAGAGTAACATTAGTTTCACTGATATTAACGAACTTATCTCTGTATCAAGGCATGCGGGAACGCGTGCATAAGACGTTATAAGAAGTTACTTAAAAGTGATCTCAGGAGTAGCTCTGGGATATCTGCTCATGGCATTTTGCTGATAGCAGAATTGTATTTGTTATCGTAATGATCCCTGCAGAGATTTGTATGATGATCCTGACCTTCACATTCTCCTGTTGTTGGATTCTTGGCAAACCCAGGCTTGCACTGGCAGTAGAATCCGGAATTGTTGAGCGTGTTATAAACGATGTCCACACACGTGGACGTGAGCGGGTTGCAATCGGTTTTCTCCAAGCACTCATTTCTGTCGCCCTCTGTACGTGCAAAACACAGACACACAGTTACGCCTCACCCTGTTTTACGAAACGTTACATTAGATCCTTTATTTACTCCAGCAAAAAGACCTAATGCAAATGGTTCATTGACAATTTTAACCCTCCCCATGATGTTAAAGGATGTGTAATATAAACAACAGCCTAACATTGCAGTCCGAATGTATATTTACCATATGAAATAAAAAAATAAATCCACATATATTATTCGTCCCAGACTCCTGAAAAAGTACCAGCTGTAAACCACAAACAGCCTGGGGCTAATCACGCAATGTTCGCACCAAGAATGTGTTCCTCCCCATTACATTGTTGTTGGATGTGAGCATACCGCCTATTATCTCGGGGGTGCGGGGAGTAATTAAATTCAAGTTTTTAATGAGGCAAATAATAGTTGGCACGTCACACCATTTCTGCAAGTTTTGGCTTAGAAAATGGATCTTGAATCCGTGTGAGCAAAGCTGCGAGTGACATGCACATGGTGGGTTATCTCCGGGTTCTTTGGCTTACATCGCCATTCCCAAACGATCGACATGAAATTAGACAAATATCTCAAACGGAAGTTGGGAGACTCATTGAGGCTTTGCTAGATAACTGAATGATTTAAGTAAATAAATACAACATTAAATAACACTACTTCACCACCGTAGGTCAATAAAAAAAAATTGAGGTCCAATTGATGAACACTAGCATTTGACAGACACATATACACGTAAAGCCATGCCAAACACTAATAGCAAATATATTTTACAAAGTTTCAGCAGAAACTACTGTCTGTTATATTTTGATTTAAAGCTTTCGTGACTGCAGTAATTCATATTCTTAGTTTTTTCGGTAAAGTCACGTTGAAGAGAAACAACAAAGTAACAAAATATATATAAAACAATAAAAAAATTCTCACGACGTTTCGACCATTTGAGTTATGGTCGAAACGTCGTGAGAATTTTTTTTATTGTTTTATATATATTTTGTTACTTTGTTGTTTCTCTTCAACGTGACTTTACCGAAAAAACTAAGAATACTGTCTGTTATGTTTGAGAGCTCGTATTAGAGCTGGAACACATGCAGTACAATAGACAGGCAAGGACCACACCCAATTTTTGTTTTAATTTACACTGGAGCTGTCTTGAGACAAGGTGCAGAAGTCATGATAAAACACATCTATGGCACTATATATTTTCAAATTTTCTTGTTGTGGTTTTCACACCTGATGATGATTGCTTGTGTTGCAGTTGGAACGTCGTGAGAATTTTATTGTTTTATATTTTTATTATTTTATTGTTTCCCTTCTACGTGACTTTACCGAAAGAACCAAGAATATGAATCCGTGCAGTCACGAAAGCTTTCAATCAAAATTTAAAATCTATGGCACTGCCCTACAACATAAAGAGAAATTTCAATTGTGCACTGTATATAATTCAGTCAGGACTTACAATGAACCCCTTGCAAGGAAAAAATACAATTATCTGGCTTTATTTAAATTTGCAACACCCGGGATGGAGCCAATGCACTTTTATGGAAACAATTTATTTATCATTGATGCTTCTGATAGAATTACTGTAACAAAAAACGAACTGGCAGAGTGCTGAACATTACAAAAATTGCGTAGAAGACACAAAATGCAACAGATCACTTTAAGGGATCTCAGAAGTGGCTCTTCGATGTTTGCTTCAATAACCAATTATCTAACACGGAGCCATGGCACTGCTTTGCGAGAGATCCGACTGGATCTTATATGGGATACTGAGCACAATAACATTTTGACGGGGGAGGGGGTTGGGGGTGGGTTAAGATGATCTTTGTTACGTTCGAAAAAAAACACCACGAAACGCACCTGTGCAGTAGGCTGCGTCCGGAGGCGTGGTGGGAAGCTTGTATACGTAAAATGTCTCGAGCGTATTGGGAATTTGGCAGAGGCGGATGGAGACGTACAGCTGCGTGTCGCAGTCTGGATTGGCAGTGGCCACGTTGTAGGAGGGCACGCACGCCTGCACCTCGTCTGTGGTGTTGATGACGCTCGGCGGAGTGCCCGTCAGCCACACGGGCCGCCGCGTGCCACAGTGAAACAATCCCGGAAAGGATTGGACCAGCTTGACGCCCGCCCCGTACACGTAGCGTATCCACTCGCTGTTAAGGGTGTTGTCGTTGTTGAACGGCGGGGTGGTGGTGTTGGGAATGATGTTGTAGTCTGTGTTCTTCCTCCATGTCGTGTTGGTTTTGAAGTAGTGTGGCAAGGAGCATGGGTCTGTGGACGCAAAAGACACACGCGGAATGTCGAAATTCGGTCACTGGTTTAAAAATATATATTTGTTTAATACTCTTTGGTTCTTTCGGTGAAGTCACGTAGGTGTAAAATAAAATACCTACGTGACTTTACCGAAAGAACCAGAGTATGGATTCCTGCAGTCACGAAAGCTTCAAATCAAGATACTGTATATATTTTTTAGTTTGACAGAGGTATGCGATCATCCACTATTATGAAGTGATACGATGTTTTTTGTATCCATATAGTTCGTGAAGCGGCTCACAAATTGATAATTAACACCCCAATAGCACAATACAATAAAATCCTAAAACCAGATTTGCCCTCAACAACACAGCAAACTTCAAATTGAGGGAGCCTCTTTATGTTAAATATTCCTGTTCAAAATCAACAATTTACTGAAGCTGCTGTATCATAAAAACACAGAGCTCAAGTGCAATGTTTTAGAAAACAGCAGCTTTCTTTTGGATGAATTAGCTTTGGACCCGAGATTAAAATTGTAAAAAAAATGCACACTAAAAACCACACAACCAAACTATTGGTATCAGAGGAGTTAACTTTAGAAAGTTTCTCTTTGGGGTGATTGGCAGATGAATTTTGTTTTACAGGACTTAAAATGAACTTGAGATGAGTACCCTTTAAACATGTGATAAAAGTATTTACATTTGTTATACCTGTACGCAAACAAGCATTGCGATATTAATCCAAAGGTTATTTTAATTTGGCAAAGTTAACGTCAAAATTATCACTCAATTTAAAGCATAAAAAACTGTACGAATTTTTTTTTTAAAAACCCCCCATATAAAATTAAACCATTACACATAGCTTACCTATGTTTGCCGAGCGCGATTCAAGTGGAAATGAAATTAACCACAAGCAAATAAGGCTTCCACCCAAAATAAATCTCTGCATTCTTGTTGCGGCTCCTCAAGTCTCGAAGCAGCAGCCGTGAACGTGTTGAGGACTGTGAGCTGAGGCGCCTGAATGCAGAGCTTACTATGGCTAGCCTATCCCCTCCTTGCCCTTATAACGATGCCTCCTCGCCTTCCGATGTCGCACACCGAAGCACCCACGCACGCACACCGCCCACTGACTCGCTTCGCAGTACGTCACGAAGCGGGCCCAAGTACGCGAAAGGCACTCAGAATAGAATTTCATGCGTGCACGTTTAATGACATCAACAAAAGCAGACTCGTGGTTATCCATAAACAAACATGCACTCAATGCAGCAGAGTAGCAATGCGTTACAGATTTTTTTTTTTAAATCGGTGATGATAAAGTGTCCGCACGAGGAACGAAATTAAAATGTAAACTTGTGATGTTCCATCACAATGATTTTATTTACTTTTTGCAAGTCCGAACATTTGACATCCACGTGTGCAAATGATGACACTCTCAAAATAACACAAACGTATATTGTCTGTAAATGTAACAGCAATTTGTTGATTCCATTCTGTAACGACACATTTAGAGTCTCACACGCATACACACTTTACATTTACAATAAGTAAACATTTGAAGCAGACATAGAAGTGTTTGTTGGTGGGAGTGATCTCACAGCATAAGACTAGCTATTCTTCATTAGTGCTTGTAATCTTGACGTTATGTAATGCTGATATAAATGGACACATTCATATTCAACAATTACAATATTTTCAAAATGAGAAAGGTTTAGAAAAAATGATATAATGGTAAAGCTTGTTAAATGTAATTAACATCATAAGTATACATGTTTAAATTTACTTCCCCATCATCTTAAAAAAGTAATAACTAACGTGGTGGTCACGTTAACTCGTTAATGACAGCATTTAAGACGTTCAATTTGCATGGATGACCGGAATGTATAACCTATGACCTTACAGCCACCCCTAATCATCCCTCCATTACTTATACCAGTGTCTATGACAAGTAACCACCGAATAAACGTCAATTTGTGTTTTTTCCCCATGCAGGAGTTTAAAGTTCTAGGAGAGTTATTGGGCTCGATCACCTTGTAAACACGTTATCATGAAATAAGTCAAAAAATGTAAGCTGCGAAGGAGTTTATTTTACACAAATGTGGTTAACGTGTACACTTTTCACAAATATTGGTTTATGACTTTGACAGTGATTATTATTCAGTTCTCTCAGACAAAAGGCACTTCAGAATTCTGACAAATAGAAACCTATGCAAGGTAAATCGTGTGCAAACGCCCGACAGTAGGAAATAAGACTTTTACAACTAAAACACGCGTAAGTGTGGCGAACGCAAGTTAATTAACATTTCATCTGCTTCACATGACAACAACACCGATTAATGCTATTTTACTACAACCCATTTAACAAAGACTAATTGAAACACACTCCTGCTAATAAACTTCACAAATGACACAGCTGTCTCTATGTACATTATTTTTTTTTAAAACAAACGTATATTGTGCAAATTGCTTAGGCCATCGATGATGATAAAACAACCTCCTCTGCATGCACCCATTTTTAGTACGACTGATAAAGCTGAGTAAAAAAGCATTCTCTTGAGCCGCTTCCAAGTGCGCATTTTAGTTGATCAAAACATTTCAAGATGCTACAATTTCAGTCTTCTGTCCTAATGGTGGGTCAAAATGTGTATCCTCAGCAAACAACTATTTGGAATTACGTTACCAATACGTGGTACAAAAGCAGTAGATATATAATCTCCACGCTCAGAGATGTGGTGCCGGTGTAAAAAAAAACACGCCAATATTGTTTTTCAACGGTTTCATTTAACTTCACTCCTGTTGGTCGTGGTCAAATCTTGTAATCAAAAGTTAGTCCACTTACTGTTGTCCAATCTTTTCAAAATTTTGCACACGTACTCAGATCCGGAGACAATGCACGCCTGTATCAAAATCGTTATAAATGCATCAATTAATTTGCTCCTTTCAAGCAATTACAATTTTAGTATGGACGCCTTATTATTGATATATTTTAAATGTCGGTCAAAAACGCCGCGGTCCCTAAACCGTCGAATCGCCAAGAAGCAGGCGCCACGTGTCTAAGGCGCGCCTGCTCCGTGTGAACAAGTTACGGGCACCCTCACTCCACAATAAAAAAAAGTAATACATTGAAGATTCATTTATAAAATAACCAATTATTTAAAGTAAGCGTTGATGTGCCTGTGATCACTGTTACGTTGCAATTATGTACTTTGTTTTTTTGGTGATTTGGAAAAGTTTTTTGGTTTGGACATGTTTGTTTTGTTGTAGTACGGAGTTAGACTGGTGGACTTAATCTAAGTTTTCTTGTGGTTGTTGTTGGTTGGCTTGCATCCCACTGGGATTTTTTGCACACAGCGTTGGTGTACAGTGCTTTTTTCAGGAATATTTTGCTGTTTTTTCATGGATTTTCTGTTTGCACAGTCACATAGTCACTTTAAGATGTTTTCTTGTTTGTGTTTTTGTTTGTTGTTGCAATTCAAGAGCCGAATGGCTCACAGGGCTATACCAAAATAAATAAACTCAAAACTGAATGTGAGAGCAAGCACCGCATCATTGACGCACTTCTCGAGGGTGAGTTAAATGAAGTTGTGAATAAAACCGTTTTCAAAAAAACTTTTTAAAGGAGTTTTTATTATTATAAAGGACGTAACATTGGGGGCCGTCCATAAATGACGTCACGCGATTTAGGACGATTTTTGATCCCCCCCCTCTCGTCACACGGCGTCACAAAAAGTCAGACCCCCCTCAAATATGACGTCACAAAGCTCTGCTCCCCCCCCCCAAAAACCATATTTCCATTTTGAAAATAAAACATGCTTCAAATCGCTTTAAACTATTGTTATTGTAGTGCGTATTTAACGTGGCGCTGCACTCTAATGTTGTAGGAGAAAACATTGATTAAAAAGTCTATTTAAGTAGAACGTGTTGTCTATATTTATTTAAAGTTGCGCATTTTGATGTGACGTCACATTTCTCAACCCCCCCCCCCCCACCTCGTCACACATCGTCACAAATGTCTGACCCCCCCCTAGGTGCATGACGTCATTTATGGACAGCCCCTTGGGCAGCTTTGCCTCACACTGCGCTGTGAACCGGACAACAATGGCTCAATTCCCAGCCATGGCTACCATCATTTGTCGAGTGAAATTTGAACCTGTGAAGTCAAAACAACGACCATATCAAACGCAGCATAGCGGGGGAGTGGGGGGGGTTCATCCAGCAGTAGATTGACAAAGGCCTTTCTATTATTGAAACTGGTATGAGTTCACCTTTGTCCAAATCACTAGGATGCCCGATGGGCCTGGAAAGTTCCTGGGACGTGTGATTGAGTTTGTCACAGGGATTGCGGCACTACATGGTGGCTGGCCAAGAGGGTAGTGCATTAACAACAAACAAACAAAAACCTGTTGCATCGTACTATCTACAACTTCAAAATCCATGTTACCTTTCCTTCAACCCGCACTGGCCAGCGTGAAGGACGATCAAACAATCCGCCCGGCTTGGGGAAAGCCAGTCGTGGTTTGTGGAGTTACGAAATGGCTGCGCATGTAACTCGTTAACTCGTGCGTTGTTTCTCCGCTCCAGGTCCTGGGACCAAACCACCACGACGCTCTCCCCCGGAGGAGAGCGTTCCAAGATTGCCAACCATCATTATCAGGCGCATGCGGTGTGCTTGCGGCTCCACGTATGAATGGGAAAAAGATTAATTTTCAAAAGTGCTGTACGTGTACATTATTCATCGTGTGGGGTTTATTGTAAATCCCTCATACTAGTAGGAGTGGCTCTGGAAATTAGCTCATGAGACATCCACACAAGTATTTTATTTAAAAAAAAATAATCCCCTCACACCAATACCCAGTTTAATTATGGTGTCAATTTTTGACTTGAAGCTTTCGTGACTGCGGGAATTCATATTCTTTGTGTCTTTCGGTGACGTCACGTAGATAGGTTCAAAGAAAAATAACAAAAAAACTACGACGTTTCTATCGCAACACAAGCGTTCGTCAACGGGAAGATGCAAGATCGTTGAGCGGCCTCCACGGCCAGCGCCCCGAGGTGGCTGTTAATATGCTAATTTTTTACTTGGCAGCCCTTTGATTGGTGGAAAAATCACCACCGTCGCGGTCGCTGCCCACCACTCACATTAACATTGGCTGCTGACATTTGGGCTACGCCCATTTCAAACCTTTATAAACAGTTTGCCTTTAGAAGCTAACCCCCTCTTCCTGATGACGAATGCTTTTGTTGCGATCGAAACGTCGTAGTTTTTTGTTATTTTTTACCGAAAGACCTAAAGAATATCGTGTCAATGTTTCAATTAATGTACTGCTGTAATTTTCCGCACCTCCGATTAGCTGGGTTGGCTACGTAAGGTTCAAAAGAAGTTCAACATACATACGAGGAAAGGAACCATCCAAATTTTACCATCATGAAAGGGTACAATAACCCACTGTTAAGTAACATTTGTGCATATACATGAATTAGAATCATTGTTTATGTAAATTTCATTTGTTCAGTGCATAACTGTGCAGATATGTTTCATCTTAAATAATGAATACATCTACTTTAGTGAATTAACAAATGTAAATAATAAGTCAGAAAAATACCAACGAATTGTTCCAATGCGTGTAACTAGAGCTGCAATGATTAGTAAATTAAGTTAATTAAACTAAACATTTTAATCGATTACTGTCTTTGTAATAAATTACTCTGGCCCCCTTAAAAATTGCGCCCACACAGATATCCTGCATCCCGAAGGCAGGAAACCCCCTTCAAGCCACGCCCATCACCACTCGTCTAAAGACAAGTATGCAAACAAAGGTGAGGCTTTTATTTTCCCGATGTGCTATCCGATTAGTCGAGTCGTAGAACCAATAATTGATAGAAAGCGATTACTTAAATAATCGGATAGCTCAGCGGGATGTATACAAATTGCCAGGGTCCTCATAAACAGGCACAGTGCGACAACCCTTGTGTGCCAAAGCGTTTTGAGATGGCTGGCTGCATGGGTTACACCTCCACCACACCACACCCCTCCCATCCCGTTCCTCCACAGCAGGAGGGAAGCAGTCATCACAAAATTAATTTGCTTTACGAACAAGGTTTAAAGTATACTTAAATTGGGCAACATTTTTTTTTAATTAAAGCCCTATAGCTAGCCAGGAGGCAAAAGTGTTCAGCCAGCACTGCTGAGAAGCTGGGTTTGCATTCAGATTTCAGCCATCCAGGATGAAAGCAGTTTCTCAAGTGTCCTGAATTGTTGGTCTGAACTCGGTCACCAATGTCTACACACACACAAAAAAAGATGAAATGTGGTTTTCATTCTCACTGTCATAAATTCTGCAATTGACGATTAAAATAGAAATGTGACTATCTTGATTTGAAGCTTTCGTGACTGCACGAATCCATACTCTTTGGTTCTTTCGTTAAAGTCACGTAGGTATAAAATGAAATAAATCACGACATTTCGGGCGCAACACAAATGGACGCTTGTGTTGCGCCCGAAACGTCGAGATTTATTTAATTTTATACCTACGTGACTTTACCGAAAGAACCACAGAGTATAGAAATGTGACTGTCATGCAACAAACTCTGTGGCAGAATGGGTCCTCGATGAGGGACACCATTGGTTAACTTCCTGTTTCTACATTGATCCTGTGGCATTGGAGCTTGTTCTGAGGATGACCTGGGAAAAAATCGTGTCACACTTCAGATGGGGCTTGGTAATGCAATTTGGTGAAGCAGACGGTTTGGTGACAAGTCAGCACCGTCATAAGGGGCCATCCATTTAGAACGTACGTAAAAATCTGTCAACACTTGACCCCTCCCTCCCTGTACGCACGCGTACTTTTTACCCCCCCCCACCACCTGTGTACGTATGCTTGACGCACCCCCCCCCCCCACCCCGAATCCTATAGAACCGCCGATATTTAATCCACGCAGAAACGATCAAGGATTAATAATATTAACGTGTCTAAGCAAACATAGTCCACCGCCGGACTATCGAGGCTTCACCCCCCCCCCCCCCGTTTCCTATGCGTACGTACATTGTCAGTAGACCCCCCCCCATACGCAAGCGTACGCATTTGGGTTAACCCCCCTCCATGCATACGTACTAAATGGATGGCCCTTAAGGCAGTTATGGTGATCTGGGCCAAGGCCACATTCCCAATTCACAAACCAGGCTGGCTCAGCTCGCTTTGTGAAAACAGCATAACTATGCTCATGGATCAATGCCAGGTTAATAGTTTAAAGGCAAGTGCTGGCTACCAAGTGTGCATTAAAAAAAAAACCTTCCACGAACGTCAATTTAATATCCCATGTGTGCCCATACACAACGGGCATAGGCGAAACCGCCAGGAACAGGGCAGTACTACTCTTCTTGAACTTATCAGCAACAGCATTTATGTGTCCACAAACGCGAGCCGCAGATCATGATTTTTTATCCAGTTCCCAAGACGTCCAAGCCATATTGCACCATCGCCGATTCCGTCGTCCCGTTTTAGACAGAGGATACAATGCCGCCGAATGTGCAGAGCACCATACAACACTGTACCCGACGCGCATGGATAGGCGTCACTTTTAGTGTTAAATGTCTGCGTTGCAGCCGTGAGTGTACGAGGTCTTCCATTCCGAGTTTAGCAGCGTCCATGGCATGCCTTCGCGGCGAGGAGTCCAGCAGCAGTGGCGAAGAAAGTGCGGTTTAAACGTAGCTGGTTTGCTGTGACGAGACAGAAGCCTCCATGAAAATGCACAAACAGAGTGCACTGTTGTAAGCAAAACATTTCACTCGCATTTGTGTTCAAGTTTATACATTGCTCACTTGTTTTTGCATAACGCACAATACACCATTAAGCTTTGAAACCATGCTTCAGAGATATTTTATAAAACGCACGTGTATTCTTTCGCAAATTTAAACTTCGTCTTCTCCTACTCTCTAACAATCAACGTCAGTAAACATAACTTTATTTAGTATTCTAATTCTCAGGTTGCTGGATTCCTAGGCGCAGTGCGCTAACTACTGGAACGCCGCTCCTCGTATGATGAACAACACACAAAACATAGACACAATGAGAACGCACCTTCATTTCTCGGCCCATTGTCTCAATCGGTAGGGTGAACGCCAAGACAGAACATATGACGCACACGGTCCCGAACAGACACAGAGCCAGGGGAATAGAAATATCAAGGATCACCTGTAGGGACACAAAACCTCATTAGTGAATATTTAGTCCATGGCTCACTTAGTGCTACTGATTTCTTGACATGGCTATCAGCGTGAACTACGTGCCAGGC